GGGGAGTCATTGCTTTGTTGGTTTATGTAGATGTTAGAATTTACCATCACCTACCACCACTACCGCGGGGGGCACTCCACTAAACCTAACCCACTACACCACTGCCACCTCACCTACTCCACTAAACCTAACCCACTACACCACTACCACCATCCACTACACCTACATCTATATAAGGAACCATTTGTAATAGACAGAATATACAATAAATATATATCAATCAATAATACATCAATTTTTCCAGTAGATGATATTATCGTAACAGGAGATGACTTGGAAGGAAGAGAAGCTTTGGAAAGATGCCTAGTTCAAGAGTTTGAAATAAATGAACTTGGCAGATTGAAATACTTTCTTGGCATTGAAGTTGCTCACTCTCAACATGGGATTTTTATATCCCAACAAAGGTATGTACTGGATTTGTTAGCTAAGATAGGGAAGCTTGGGTGTAAACTAGTGGAAACTCCTATCGAACAAAATCACAAGCTTTGTGAAGTTGTTGAAGGCGCAGTGGTAAATAGAGAGTCCTATCAAAAATTGGTTGGTAGATTGATTTACCTCTCACCCACTAAACCAGACATAGCCTATGCAACGGGAGTGGTAAGTCAGTTCATGCATAATCCCAAAGAGATCCATCTCCAAGCAGTACATCACATTTTATAGTATCTCAAGGGAACTTTAGGAGGAGGGATGTTGTTCAAGAAAGGAGGAAAGTTAACACTAGAAGCCTACACAAATGCAGACTATGCAGGATCTATTGATGACAGAAGATCAACATTGGGCTATTGTACATTCCTTGAAGGAAACCTTATAACATGGAGTAGCAAGAAGTAGAACGCGGTTGCTAGATCAAGTGCGGAAGCTAAATTCAAGGCAATGGCATTGGGAATTTGTGAAATTCTGTGGTTGAAAATAATATTAGAAGATTTGAAAGTTGCGTGGGAAGGACCTATGAAGCTTTATTGTGATAACAAGTCAACAATCAACATTGCACATAATCCTGTGCAACATAATCAAGCCAAACACATTGAAGTTGACAGGCACTTCATAAAAAAAAAGTTGGACAGTGGACTAATCTGCACACCGTTTGTACCTTCAGGCAGTCAAGTGGCTGATGTGCTAACTAAAGGGTTAAATGGTTCAGTCTTCTGGACTATTGTTGGCAAGCTGGGAATGGATAATATCCGCTCACCAGCTTGGGGAGGGGGTGGGTGGTCAAAGATAACCAAGCTGGATCTGTGTGTCAAAGATAACCAAGTTGGATCTGTGTGTGAGTTGGCCAAGCTGTGAATATTTGAATTTGTATTTAGATTAGTCATATCCCTGATTTATAGGGATTGTATTCTAGGAAATCTCATTCCTGATTTGTAAGGATTAGCTAGCTATAATTTGTATATATAGTCTTTCCATGTATATTTCTAAGTAACGAATATTATTCCCATTGTTTATCATAAGTTTTATTGTTTGTCTTTTTTACGAATGAGCTATTAATTATTTAAATCTAAGCAAAAAAGTAATAAACATTCAACATCCAATACTCATAAAAAAAACACTTAAGGATACGCGGACTCAACAAAAAAATGTCAAATTTTAAATCAAGTATGTGAGATAGAATGGTGCTATATGTAACTTATAGTGTCAAAAAGATATTTATAGCAATTATACAACAATATGTACATATAATAGTAGTGTTAAATACAATTATACAAGAAGTGTCCGATGAAAAGTATCCGATACATATCTTATACCCTTGTCCGAGTGTTGGGTGTCCGACACGAGTATTTGATTTATTTTGAAGAGTCCGTGTAAAATAAGGGGGAACTAGTTGGTGTGTCCATGTCGTTGTTACACGGTATTGGGTAAAACTCACCCCAAAAAGGTAGATACTAAGGTGAGGGTACTCTCTCATTTATATGCTTAATATTATTTTAGTACTCGGGCGATGTGAGACTTCACTTCACCCTTAAAAACAAATTAATTAACTAAGGGTGTGTCCCACATGTGTCCCCATGTCCGACACCACTACGACAACTATTTTGCAGGTCGGTGCTTCATAGATACAATCATATTCAAATTTGAATATAAAAGAGAGGGAGAGAGAGAGAGAGAGAATGTCAAATCTATAGGGGGCCATTGATTCAGTGGTTAAAACTCGGCATACTAACCTTGCGGTTGTGGGTTTAAACCTAAGAGCAGCCACTTTGTACAAATTATGTCGAAGGTTAGGGTTGTACCCAATCTACCTCCTCCCGGAGCCCCCGTCAAATGGGGACTAAACTATGTGTAGTTTTTTTTAGTGAATATTAAATCTATTTATTTAACTACCTTAAATTCAAAACAAATATGATTCTAGAACTAACCAGCATTAATAACTCGACACAATTTGTAGTGCAATAAAAAAATTTTAAAAACATATTTTGACAAATTTTACTGTATACAAATCTTCAAGATGATATGAAAGATGCAAACTAACTTCAAGAATGACAACTCTTGATTTCCATAAAGCATATCCAGGTTACAACAAGAATCTAACCCCAATTGCATGAAAGGATTTTTCTACCACAATAATAATAACAATAACACGTGCAGCAGTAACAATAATAATAATTAGCTAACCAACTGTGAATCTCTTTGTTTATCAGCACTCAAAGCTTGAGTACAAGTTTTGCACTGAAATCTGCAATTTTTGTTGATAAATTTGATAAACTGAATCTAATTCCAAAATTTGTTCTTGAAGGATTTAAAGGGGAAGAAGGAATAATGGAATTTGATTTAAAAAGGAGATTTTTTTATTAACATTCTGGTACATGAGCTATCAGGCTGTTGTGAGTACTACAGATGTGAGATTGCTGGCCTGACAAATCCTTGCCTGTAGCACTTGCGATAAGAATCGTAAGCATTACATTGTGGTTGTGTATGCAAGGCAATAACCACAATTTATAGCCAGGTCCAAGTATAAACATAAGCATAACACCTAGCAAGTGCTATCCGCCTCAACGTTGTGGAGTAGGTATGAGTCACCGAAACAGCCTCTCCACAAAAGTAGGGGAAAGGCTGCCTACCTACTACTGTTTCCAGACCTTGTTGTAAACAGGAGTGCTATGTGCTAGGTACAGTACAACTTTTTAAAACACCTATCAAGTAATATATATGTTCCTAATCAATAAGTACCAAACACAACTAAAAGCACGATCAAGAGAAAACCTATTTCCATCATACAAGAATGGCTGGATAAGAGATGAATTTTAGAAGTAATAGGAAACCATGTAAAATGGTGAGACTGTCAACCTGAACAATTTGAGGATACCAATCGCGAAGTTTGTCAAATGCATCTTCAATTTTGCCATTCTTGATTAGCTTCATGGGCAGAAAAAAATACATCAGTCAAATTCGTGTCTATTGTCGCAGAAAAAAAAAATGAAGTGCCAGTATTTCAATTTTGTTATGAACAAAAATTGAAGGATGAAATATTCCAGAGCTGCAGTGGTGGTTTCAAATTCATCAATAAATACTACATTGCAAAATATCTGTTTTAGCAAAGCTTCACAAGGAATTCGCCGTAAAGAAATTAGACCCAAAATGTCAAAAATCATTAATTTTATGATGAAACAGCAGTCCGTATGCAATATTAAGCTGCCGTATCTTTAGAACAGGACAAATATAAAGAAAGCATTTTGTGTTGTCATTATTAAAGAAGAAAACTTGTCCCTGAAACCTACTTCAGCCATGTAAAACAAGCAGCTCCTAGCCAATCTATGCCAAAGACAAACCACTTCTGATCACCTCAATATTTATTTCTCAGCCAAAATCATCAAAACAAAAGTCCTTAATGAATAGGATTTCACTCTTTGCTTGTTAACCTTTCCCATATTGCCTATTGGAACTACACCTACATTCTCTCTTATATCCTCATTAGTTATATATGACTTAGGCCTTGTTTGGGAACTCTCCCTTTTAGTCAAAAAGCCAAAAAGTTACTAAGGCCTCGTTTGGGATGCTACCTTTTTAGCCAATTAGTCATACCAAAAAGTCAACAATTACGGCTTCTCTCTACTTTTTGCATAGCTTTTCGTAATTAGTCAAAAAGTCATCCCAAACATACAAGTTTTTTTTACTTACATTTTTAGCCAATTAGCCAAAAAGTTACTAAATTAGCCTGTTCCCAAACGAGGCCTAAATTAGTCAAAAAGCTAACAACCCATACCAAAAAGTCAAAGATTCTCTTTTCTCTCTACTTTTTGCACATCTTTTCGTAAAAGGCCAAAAAGTTATCCCAAACATACTAGTTTTTTTTAGCTCATATTTTAGCCAAATAGCCAAAAAGTTACTAAATTAGCCTGTTCCCAAACGAGGCCTATACAGTGTCACCTATCCTCTTTTATTTTTATGTATTTTCTTGTTTTGTAACTCTCTCCAAACTCAAGTTGGTTAGTTCCTATCCCCTTTGAGTTTGCGGGGGGCTGTTAAAACCTATCACCTACTTCACCCACTTAAACCTATTCCACTAAACCTAACCCACTACACCACTACCACCTCCACTTCACCTACTCCTTACCTACTACACACTCACCCTCTTCTATATATAGGAATCATGAATCATTGTAATAAATAGAACATTATATCAATCAATAATATACATCAATTTATTTTACATATAGCCAGGTCCAAGTATAAACATAAGCATAACACCTAGCAAGTGCTATCCGCCTCAACGTTGTGGAGTAGGTTTGAGTCACCGAAACAGCCTCTCCACAAAAGTAGGGGAAAGGCTGCTTACCTACTACTCTTTCCAGACCTTGTTGTAAACAGAAGCGCTATGTGCTAGGTACAGTACAACCTTTTAAAACACCTATCAAGTAATATATATGTTCCTAATCAATAAGTACCAAACACAACTAAAAGCACGATCAAGAGAAAACCTATTTCCATCATACAAGAATGGCTGGATAAGAGATGAATTTTAGAAGTAATAGGAAACCATGTAAAATGGTGAGACTGTCAACCTGAACAATTTGAGGATACCAATCGCGAAGTTTATCAAATGCATCTTCAATTTTGCCATTCTTGATTAGCTTCATGGGCAGAAAAAAATACATCAGTCAAATTCGTGTCTATTGTCACAGAAAAAAAAAATGAAGTGCCAGTATTTCAATTTTGTTATGAACAAAAATTGAAGGATGAAATATTCCAGAGCTGCAGTGGTGGTTTCAAATTCATCAATAAATACTACATTGCAAAATATCTGTTTTAGCAAAGCTTCACAAGGAATTCGCCGTAAAGAAATTAGACCCAAAATGTCAAAAATCATTAATTTTATGATGAAACAGCAGTCCGTATGCAATATTAAGCTGCCGTATCTTTAGAACAGGACAAATATAAAGAAAGCATTTTGTGTTGTCATTATTAAAGAAGAAAACTTGTCCCTGAAACCTACTTCAGCCATGTAAAACAAGCAGCTCCTAGCCAATCTATGCCAAAGACAAACCACTTCTGATCACCTCAATATTTATTTCTCAGCCAAACTCATCAAAACAAAAGTCCTTAATGAATAGGATTTCACTCTTTGCTTGTTAACCTTTCCCATATTGCCTATTGGAACTACACCTACATTCTCTCTTATATCCTCATTAGTTATATATGACTTAGCCTCCATTTTAGGAGTGAGTCAGTTTGGACGCTGTTATTGTGCAAATCAGCATTGCTTTACGGTTGTCCAGCTATCAAATAATACTGAATCTTTTCAAAAGGGCTTTCAAACAACCAGAAAGATATATAGATGAGAAGTATAACTTCAGAAATGGTGACACATACAGATGAGGAGTATAACTTCAGAAATGGTGATAGAATATACATGTTTAGAATGACAAAGAAAGCAAACAATCATACAATTGTAAAACAGCATTAATAATTTTCATTTTCCAATAAAAAGGCTCAGAAATTTGTGTGAAACAAAATAATACAGGCTCCTCAAAGAGGACAAAAATAAGAACACTTTTGCATGTAAAAATCATCTAAAAGCCACTGATCTGTTTACGGCATACCATATTTCCAGCTCTCTATAATAAATCCATTCAAGCTCTGGCAATTCGTACCTGTCGAAGAGCCTTTCTTTGGTTTAATGCATACATGTTGTCTTGCTCATTGAAGCCGTTTTCTTGAGCTAACGGGATGGGAGGAAGAGAACTTTTGCTAGCTATGTCAAATAATTTGAGTGTATCCTCGTACCCATAGTGCAGTAAATAGGAGCGAACTAATCTGGTAACAATAAGTATTACATTAGTATAAACAAAACAAAGTGCTAATATAAGAATAACAGTATTGTACCAGGACCAAGGTAAAAGTTTGCCCTAAAATAGATTAAAGATTTACGGTAAGATTCTAACATAGTTAATGAATAAACAAAATATGAGCTCTGTAGTCTGTAATACCCTAGGTACCATTGCTTCTGCATATTCATGTCTAACATTTCCCTCAACTGTGGTGGATATTTTATGCTACTTGCATGCAAGATGTTATATATGTGCCTCAGTTCAATTATATGCTACTCTTTAATGAGTTGTGCCCAAGGTTTTAAAAAGCAGCCGCAACCGTTAAGTAACGCCGTTACGTAATGGTTTTGGTAGTTACCGCCACCCGTTATGGCCGCTTTTGCAGTGTGATTGAGATTCATAGCTGTGTCAGCCGTAGCGGCTGCCATAGCGGTCGTAACGGTGCCGTAACAGCCGCAACAGCCTATTACGCACCTTTACGTAACAGTTCCAAACTGTTTCTTTCGAAAAAACACACAAAAAAAAGTTGAAAATAGGCGAAGAGGGATAGAGAGAAGAGGGAAGATAAAGAGAGAAAATGGTGGAGCAACAGATAGAGAGAGAAGAGGAAAGATGAAGAACATGTTATTGATTCGTTGAAACTGTAAGACCTATGCTATTCTATTCAGCTGCTATCACTCAACCATTTTGTTTGTGTGTCTATCTATATATTGTTTGAAAATAATAATAATAATAATAGTAGTAGTAGTAAGTGTGGTCATTATCTATTTGGCTTGGTTAAAATATATATATATATATTTAGACTCTTATTTATTTTCTTACTTTTGTCATTGTTTATCTTATATATAATAGTTAGTGATTGATTTTTTGTATAATATAAAGTTATTAATTATTAAAATAAAATGTAAAAAACTTAGTTTATAGTGATTTAAAAATATGAAATATATTGGATAATACTTAAAAATTTACAAAAATTGATCAATATTTATTTTAAACCCAATAAATATGATCATGGAAAAAAAAATATGCGTATCAGTAATTTTTTTTCAAATTGTGCGAAAAATAAAAAAATTCATGGTTCCGGTTACCGCAACCGTTACGCTACGGCCTTTACACCCCGCAACCGCGCTACCGCCACCGTTACAGTGACCGCAACGGCTTTTCAGAACCTTGGTTGTGCCTCTAATTTTATTTACTTATTTTTAATCGGCAAGAAAGAAAATTCATTAAACATTAAAAAGCTCAAATACTAAGCAGGACAAGGGGAAAAGAAAAAAAAAAAAACAAAACAAAACAAAAGATTCTCACACCCTACAAATAGCATTTAAATCCCCAAGAACTAAAAAAAGAGGAATCCCTTTGAAGGAGGGAGCCACCGAACCCCGCAAGCTAAAAAACACAACTTCTCCCATATGCTCTCCAAATCTTCTATTTTCTCCTCAAAAACTCTACATTCCTTTCAAGCCATAAAACCAAGAAGACCGTGCAAACCACACGTCTCCATAGAACCTGAGTCCTTCCGTCTAATCCGAATGCTCTAAAATCAATACAACACAAGCTCACAAGAGGGCATAATAATCCCATCGGTCTCCGCCAAATAAAAAACTCCCCATCATAACAATAATGCAAGACTAGATGATCCATACTTTCCTCAGCCTCCCTATACATAGCACACCATTGTGGAAACAAAAGTCAATTTGGTCTTCTCTTTTAAACCATATTGTTAGTATTAAGTTCAAGTAAGCCAAAGTCCATGCAAACTCTTTTAATTTAAGGGCCACGAAAGCATCCCAAATCATCTTGTGAGTAAGAAAGATGAGGATAATTAAATTATCGATGAGATAATAATAATAATAATAATAATAATAATAATAATAATAAAGATTTATAAGTAAATAGCCCAGGTGGATGGAGATTCCACACTCTTACATCAACTAGAAGACAATGAAACATCTCAAGGATTACATTCATTGGTCTCATGATCATTTACGTTTCTAAAGAATTTAAAGTCCCAAGAGATTGGAGATGAATGGGATGAGACCATCAAAGAAATTGAGACATTGTGGGTTGTAGCTAACTGATACAATCACGGAAACAAAAGAGAAAATGGAGTATCCCCCCTCCAAGTATATCCTCCCAAAAGTGAGTAAGCTCCCCATTACTTACAAGAAGATGATTGAATTGAAAGAAGCACTGAAGGCCATGAGAGATGAATTTCCATGAAGAAGGGCAAGTCCCCCTCTCCACCACTGCAGAATCCCATCCATTAGCCTAATTCCAATACTTACTTTTAATCACAGCATGCCAGGAAGATTTAACACTCCCTCAAAAACCTTCATAACCACTTATCAAGCAAAGAAATATTTTATTGACAATGTGGCCCAAACTAAGGCCCCCTTTGCACTTCGAGAGGGAAACAACAACCCATCTAATCAAATGATCCTTTGAGTAAACCTGTGACACATGATCGACTTCCCCCTTTGTCGAGATGCAATCGGTGAAGACATTGATGCTTGGTGGAGAGATTGACGTCCCCCCATTTTGGCGATTTTGTGGACTTGAAATCCCTCTTTGAATAACAATTGTTAACACAGGCTGAGAACAGTGGGCAAGTGCCACCCTCCCTTAACCTTGAGTGCCAACTAACTTGAAGAAGGGTGATGATGTGTCGATGCCAATAGTGAAGCTGGACATATGTACGACAAACTTTAAGTGACACATTTGCTTCCAAATCAACTTACAAGGAACAAAGATTAGAACATCCGGAAACTTTTGTGAATTAATTCTGTGAGTGTATAATTACTCGTTCTTTTAAATGATTTTAGGTGGACAAGGCTTAAGTTCAAAAGATCAAGCTTTTTGTGCAAAATGAACACTGAAGTTTTGTGCATGCCTGTGTAGTAAAGACTTACATTCTGTATGATGAACCAGGATGTATCTTGTTTTAAATGACGTAGGGACTTGTACTAGTCTGTGGTTTAATCAATGGTTCACTTGATCAGTTCTAAGGAGTAAAGTCATCAATTTCAGTCCATGGTTAAAAAGTGATTGCTTCACTCAAAATTGACTACTCTTTAGTCTTCTCCAAAGCAGCTGCTTTTATAAGTGAACAAGTAGTTGCTGTTAGAATAATATCTTCGGTTATAGTGTATTGCTTATTCTATTAGTTGTTATTTTCTTATTCCGTTATTTCCGTATTTGTGCCTCCAAGGCTCCCATTGTAAGCTACCTATTATCTATGAAGCACGGGTGCGGGTGCGGGTGTGGGTGTAGGTGCGGGTGCGATATGGGTATGGAAATACGGCAAATTCTTAAAAAAAGTAGGGTACAGGTACGGATGGGGTACGTTAATTTTTTTTTTAATTTTTTTAAAAATTTATAACTGAACATCCAACATACAAATCAAATTTTCAATATCAAAACTAAAAAGAGAATAGTTTGTCTAAAAAGTTATATAATTCTTTCTTTTTCTTTTTCTTTTTTGATTGTTTAAAACAAGATGCAAAAGAGAGCAAAACCAGGCCTCATGGGTAAAAGGTGTTGGAAATAAATTACTTGATGATTTTTGAAGTTGAAAGAAGAATAATAAAGACTGCAACAAATTCTAGCAGCTATAAAAAAAAAAAATCGCCTCGTCATATCCATGCCGTATCCATGACGTACCCGATAGTATTTGCCGTACCCAACATGTAATCAGCATACCCGGTACATATACCGCCATACAAGTACGCATACCCTCACCCGGTAAGTACCCGATACTCGTACAGCATCATTTTTGGAGTACCCGTGCTTCATAGCCTATTATCAATATAAAAGGGGATGATTGTCTAATCATTCCCTAAGTTTTGTTCTCTCTTAACAAACATGGTATTAGAGCCAAGTTGCTCCTAAACCATCACCCAACACCACCACATCATCACCCATAACCACCCATACCTAAAAACTCCCATTTCGGCCCTCTCTCAGGCCTGTCAGCCTTCTTGCCAGCTTTTCAAGGCTTACCAACAGGCCTTTAGGCTCTGTCAGCTGTCTGTGGCATTTAGGGCACTCTCAGCCCTTCACCATCACTGTCAGCAGGTTCTTTAAGCACCTAAGCCTCTATTGCAGCCTTTCTCCTCACCTATCAGGGCCGAAATACACCCTCATATGATCAAAGAATCTTGTTTTGCCCCTAACTTTTCCGTGATCTGTTTTTGGGTGATTTGGGACATTTATTACACTGTTTTGATCGACCCGTAAGCCTTTTTTTTTCCCCTTTTTTTTTTATTTATTGGGCCAATATATGGTCCTCTTGCTATTTTTTTTGACTTATTATGCTCCTGTCATGGTCTGCAATTGATATTGCTTGGTCCAGTTGATTTTATACCATCTTCCAACAATTATAATTAGTACAGGTTGTTATTCAATGTATAAAGTATAAATGGCTGATATTACTAGTGAATCCACTACTACTTCTCAGCCACCTAGAGGGGAGAGTCCCAATATTACTACTAAATCTAAAAACCTAAACACTAGCCTTAGAATTATCACCTCTCTATTTAATGGTCAAAACTATCTTGTTTGATCACAGTGTTCGACCCTTTTCTTGAAAAGTAAAGGGAAGATGGGTTATGTTGATAGGAGGATCAAGGCACAAGGTATCACTGATTCAAGTTATAACCAGTGGAAGATTACTAATTCTTTAATTATGAGATGGCTTATTCATTCCATGGTACCTAACATTGGGGAAGGCTACTTGTCTATGGATACCGCTTAGGATATTTGGGATGTTGTAGCCACTACCTATTCCCGGAAGGGGAATTTCTCACAGGCTTTTCGAGTTGTTCTGTTCTATTGACTGCTCAGTACAAAGGGAGATGACTATCCTTTAGTACTTCACTTTTCTGAATAATGGCTGTAAACGTCTGGATCATCGACAGGATTATAAGTCTATCTGCACAACTGATTCGGCGGGTGACCGAAAGTTTATTGAAAAGGAAAGAGTCT